AGAGAGAGAGAGAGAGAGAGAGAGAGAGAGAGAGAGAGAGAGAGAGAACGAACCCCCTGAGTATATGTAAGGAAAAATATCTTGAATAAATGACAAAAAGTTTGTAGGGGGCTGTTATGGATGATGGTTATTCTCCAAGTCATTTGAAACTATTTAAAATTAGTATTTTAGAATATAATGAACTATCTATCACTAATTGGTAGAAACAGGGAGCAATTTTCATGTTGGGAGGAAGGAAAAGAGAAAAAGCAAACCCAAATACAAAACTATTTCTTCTAGAAATACAAAGCTGGAAGGACCTTTGGATTTTTGACCAAGTAAAAATGTCCTATTATCTTTATAAAGGCTTCCAAATCTCTAACAACAGTAGATGGCAGACTCAGCTCTTCCTGGCTTTATGCTCTTGAAGTAATTTCCATTAGGAACAAACACCTGTCTCCTTGTCCCTCTAGCCATCTAGCACCAGCAGCCAATGTTAGGTCCCTCAAATGTGCTTCCTTTCTCTATCAATGTTTGGTCGAGGTCCTTATTATTTTTACTTGCATTACTGCAATTATCTTCTAATTAGTCACTAGTTATTGAACCCATACTTTGCTAACCCATTCTCTATCCTCAACTATTATCCCAAAATATAAATTTGATTATATCATTTTTGTCTCTAAAAAACAAACTGGCCCTCACCAAGTCTGATGAAACAAGTATAAATACATTTTTAAAGCAATTTATCTTTTAATAGCATGATTTAATAACAATATAAAAGGGGTGGATAATAGGACTCCTTAAATTGCTCAAAAGTATGTAATAGGAGACTAACTTTCTACTAAAAACTTGTATTAGCACTACTCGATTTAGCCTATTTAAAACTACTGTACTCAATACATGGCTAAAGTTCTTAAATGTGTTCTTTTTAAAAAAAGAAGCAGGATACTAGATAAGCTAGTTTCTGTTTCATTGACATAGTATATCATTTAGAAAACATTTCTAATTTTTTAAATAAAAATGTTTATTTTATGTGTATGTGGGTACACCTGAGTATGTGCATGCATATTACATGCATACAAAAGTCCATGAACCAGAAGCAGGCATCAGAACCCATGAACAAGAGTTATACGTAGTTGTGTACTACCATGTAGGTGCTAGGAACTCAACCTGGATCTTCTACAAGAGATTTTAACTGAGTTACCTATCCAATCCCCATTTCTAATCATTTTAATGCTTTTAAAAATTCAGCAATCTATTGGACTGGTGAGACAGCTCAGTGGTAAATAAAAATGCTTACTGCCAAGCCTGATAATGTGAGTTCAACTCTGAACCTACCTAATGGAATGAAAGAACTTTGTGTAAAAAGTTTTACTCTGATTTTTATACACATGTCTTGTGTGTCACCCCCTTTCTAGCACATATCATAAAATAAAATATCAAAAAACAAAACTCTTACATACTAAAATAGAATTGACTTACCTTGCAAATACCCTGTCTTTATTTGCCTTTTCTTTCCCATACTGAACTGACTGGACTTCAGTTCTCCCACTGAAATATATAAATATGCATAATATCTTAAAATGGACTACAGCATAAAATTATAATATAGAACATGATTATACTACAATTTTTTAAGTGACGAGATATTTGTAGTAAGAAAAACAACAATAAAAGCAGCAGAGTAAGAAGGAGAGACTGGACTACTTTCCAGTTCCAATTAAATAAATGAAGCTTAATTATTGAAGTAATTTAATAAATTTAATAAACCAAGATGTGTCAGGAGACAAATGTGTGACAACAGGAACTCCTTTCCTGTGGTGTTCCTTTCCTACTAAAATGTTCTCTCTAAAGTCAAAAGAGCCCTGTATCAAACTAGCTCTATGGCCCTGACCTATCCTAACAGAAGAGAGTTAGCTAATGCCTCTGTTAGCAAATGATGGGGCTGAATTATATGGTTATTTGGATAACTTCTTTTTTCCTTCCTACTACCAACTATGACAGATATAAAGACTGTCCATCAACTCCTTCCATGTCACAATACAAGAAATTTCAGGTTTTTGACTATAGGAAAGAAATGAGGTCAGAAATATTGTGGATGCTGGGCACTGTTTCTGCCTTGAAACTGACGTGCCTAGACAGCACTCTGTGTATGCAGAGGAGATACTGATCCTCCGTCAGCATATTCAGCTGTCTTATGAACGAGTAGATCTCAGTGAGTTTGTAAAGGCAGCCTGTTACTGAACTGTAAATGAACATAAGTTTCTAGTACAGAAAGAAGAGCCATTTATAAATATAGATATTTAATGTATATAAAATTAACTAAATACATGTTCCCAAAGCCACACAAGCAAATGTTAGATCATACTACTGCTACAACGAATATAATTTTGAAATAAATGGCATGATTGATATTTACTAGAAAAATGAGAAACTTTATTATTTTAAATGTGAAATTTCTGAAAAAAAATTTCCTCTATGAAGGCCATATATTCAGGTTAATTAGTTTGAATGCATTTAACCCCTTAAATATTCAGAATAGTAATAAACATGTATATAAACAGAGATGGCTAAGCAAGCAAACTTTGTGACTATTTCCAGCTCTACTTTCTAGTCAATAATATTTCAACTCTTAAGTATAACAATATCATCAATATTCCTGGCCACTGCTCACCATGAGGCACGTCCATTTAGGGAAAGAACTATCTATGTACAGTGTTTGTCATGCTGCCTTTCCTACTTCATTTGCAAGAGTATTAACATTTTAATAATTAAAAGGAACTTCCAATACATTCTAAACCTAAGAGTAGAACTATAAGCACAGAACCTAAAGCTAAGAACAAGAACTATAAGCACAGACACTATAAATACATATGGCTTATGTCCAAACACTGATGTGCAATGGACTGTCACAGGCCCTACGGCTGTAAGTAATCACACTCCACTTTCTAGATTCCTTTCTGCTTAGCTTTCTACTAGATTATGCTTTCACAATGTATAGACAAAAGATCAGAAAAATGAGAGAAATGCAAAGCAGATACTGGCAAGTGCTGGGCAGTGAAAGATAACATCTTGATGAAGCAGTACTGCTCTGACAGGGCCAGGACCAACTGGACTGGCCATGAAAGTATCTCTGAAGCATAGTAGCCTGTCTAGGCTCAGGGAATCCAGATCAAATGTGACCCTTACACATTACTCCTCATGCACACTTGGTTCTTAACAACCACTCCTCCCCACTTACTCTCACATTTTTGTTTATTTGTTTTAAATGCCTATATAACCACATCTCCATATTAATTTTATTTTACTTAAAGTATCAAAAAAGGCTCTGAGTTTCTATCACTCCTGACTGATAAATTAAGATGGCAGTGAAGCAGATAAAAATACAACTCTATTGATCAAAAGGCTGGAATAACAAGTCAATATCCATAGCAAGTAAGAACAATTAATGTTCCAAATGGATTTATATTGTATTTTGTTCATAAAATACCTTTTGAGAGTCAGAATAAAATAAAAATCTGTAGCAATTACAATATCAAATTGTGACAGTAAACAATGAGAAAGTACCAACTGTTAAATACATATATACAACCTTATTGTAATAATTCAAGTAATAAAGAAAATAATGAAACAAATAACTAAAACGTAACCCAGTTTTAAACTTGAAATCTCATTACAAAAATATAAAATTTATTCTAAAAGTTCTTTTCTTTTAAATATTTTCATGATTCCTTTTTTAAAATGTGCACTGTTGTTTTGCCTGCATATATGTCTGTACAAGGGTGTCATAACCCCTGGATCTGAAGTTACAGAGAGTTGTGAGCTTCCATGTGGGTGCTGCAAGCTGTACTGGATCCTCTGGAAGAGCAGTCAGTATTGCTAATCTATGAACCATCTCTCCAGCCTACTGAAACTTCTTACATATCCACTTAGAAAAGGCTAGAATTATAGGCATAATCTTATACTGTGATTACAGTACCTATGCTCAGAGGTGGAGCTGCTATTCATTGATAAAAGGGAGAAAGGGCTTAGGAAAACATCATAAAGTAGATAGATATGTACAATATGACACATTAAAAAATTTGTCCATAGGGATTCAAGATACTTTCTCTCATCTACTGCTTCTTTTTTAAAACTTCCTAATTTTAAAAAGCTTTTATCATCATAACTTCTTTTTCTAGTCCTCACATTTGCCGAGGATGAATACTACTGGTAAAGGCTTACCTTTTATTCTCAGGGCTTTGCACCAAGACTTTTTTGAGTTAACTTATTTTCTTGAGTTGTTATTTTCTTGTTATTTAGTTAGTCTGGTTTACTATTTTTCTAAAAAAAAAAAAACTTATAAAATTCTATTTTCACTTTTATTTTATGAGGAAGAGTATTTTGTCTATATGTGTAACTCTGAGTGTACAGTTATTTCTCACTAAGAAGGCATATTAATTATAGTACATCAGAACCCTAGAACTGGAGTTACAGACAGTTCTGTGCCACCGTGGATGCTGGGAAACAAATCTAGGTCCTCTGCAAAACCAGCAAGCACTCTTAAGCACTTGGTCACTCTACAACTCCTGATCAGAGACCTTACAATGCTTGAGATTTTGCATACTGAATAATGTCTACTATGTTAGCTTTAAACTTCTTTGAATCAAAATCTGGCTGTGTAATTAATATTTTCAGTCACTTCCCTACACATCTCATTTTAGAACATAAATATGAGGAAAAATTTTACTTGGCATATAGTCAGTTTAAAAATAATCTAATGTATTGAGATTCTAACAAGACTGATCAAGAGACAAAACATACAAGCATGAATGAAAGAAGCAGCCAGACAGTGGTGGCACACACATTTAATCTTAGCACCCTGGAGGCAGAGGAAGCACTATCTCTGTGAGTTTGAAGCCAGCCTGTTCTACAGAAATACTTCCAGACATTCATGGTTACACAGAGAAAGCCTGTCTCAAAAAACCAAACCAACAAACCAAATAAATAAATGAAGAATTAAAGTACCATCTCCTAAAAAATCAAGACTTAAAAAGATAATGAGGGTCATTGGAAACTTTATGACAATAAAGCCAACAACTTACATTGAACGAAATACATCAACTACCAGTTCAGAAAGAAAAAGTCTAAATAAAATAAAAATTTTAAGTGAAGTCAGTCCAGAAGGAATAATTGATAAATTCTATTAAGAATTTAGTATAAAAAGGAAGTAAGGACTGGAAAGATTATAGAGTCAATAAAGTGCTTGTTACACAGTCATGAGGACCTCAGTTCACTCTCCTGGAACCCAAGAAAAGCCAGTATGGCAGTTTGTGCCTACCACTGAGAAATGCTATGTTGACTATGCAAAATAGTTATTAGGCTTGGTTTTTAAATTACTATTTAATATACTAGAAAGTTCCTTCTGCTTCAGTGGTGATTTTTTTTCCTTTTATTGGATAATTTCTTTATTTGCATTTCAAATGTTATCCCTCTTCCAGGTCTTCCCTTTGGAAACCCCCTATCCTATACCTCCTTTCAATGCCTCTATGAGGTCACTGGTGATTTTTTTCCAAATAATTTACTTCAACTGTCTTTTCTGTTTAGATTCATCATGCCTGGCTTTTCTATTGGATGTTGTAGAGTCCAAGTAACCTATTTGCCTTTTTTTTTTCTCACATTTTATCTGAAACCTGTTTGAACTGGAACAGGAGGCTGGCTACTGCACTTTATGGCTGGAGATATTTTTATGCACTGTATAATCATTGTCTCTATATTATATAAATACTGATTTCTGAACAAACAGAGAAGATTATAGGCTGGACTTTGGTATTGTTAAGAATCACCTGCCTTGCTGGGCGGTGGTGGCGCACGCCTTTAATCCCAGCACTTGGGAGGCAGAGGCAGGTGGATTTCTGAGTTCAAGGCCAGCCTGGTCTACAGAGTGAGTTTCAGGACAGCCAGGACTACACAGAGAAACCCTGTCTCAAAAAACAAACAAACAAACAAACAAACACAAATGAAAAACAAAACGAAAAACAAACAAACAAATAAACAAACACCACTGGTGACAGCAGATGTTGGCGAGGATGTGGAGAAAGAGGAACACTCCTCCACTGTTGGTGGGATTGTAAACTGGTACAACCACTATGGAAGGCAGTCTGGCGGTATCTCAGAAAATTGAACATAGTATTACCTGAGGACCCAGCTATACCACTCCCGGGCATATACCCAAAAGATGTTTCAACATACAACAGGGACACATGCTCCACTATGTTCATAGCAGCCTTATATATAATAGCCAGAAGTTGGAAAGAACCCAGATGCCCTGCAACAGAAGAATGGATGCAGAAAATGTGGTACATTTATACAATGGAGTACTACTCAGCTATTAAAAACAATGAGTTCATGAAATTCTTAGGCAAATGGATGGAGCTGGAAAATATCATCTTGAGTGAGGTGACCCAATCTCAAAAGAACATACATGGTATGCACTCACTGATAAGTGGATATTAGCCCAAAAGCTCACAATACCTAAGACACAACATATAGACCACATGAAACTCAAGAAGAAGAAGGAAGACCAAAGTGTGGGTGCTTTGGTCCTTTCTAGAAGGAGTATCAAAAGTTTCAACCAGAGCTCCCAAAGTCTAAACCTCCAGCCTGAGAGCACAAAGGGAGGGACTCATGCCTCCACCTGTATAGGTAATTGAGGGTGGCCTTGTCAGACATCAGTGGAAGTGGAGGGCCTTGGTCCCCAAAAGTTTGGATCCCCTAGTGTTGGGGAATTTGAGAGCAAGGAGATGGGACTGGGAGGATGCTTGGAGCACACCCTCATAAAAATAGGAGGAGGAGATATAGGATAAGGGGTTTGGGTGGAGAATGGGAGAGGAGATACCATTGAAGGGTAAATACGTAAAATATCCAATTTAAAAAAAAAAACAGATAAAGGGTCTAAAAAAAAAAAGAGAGTTTACTTATTTCAAATTATTTTCAAAAGTTTCTAGGAGATGCTAATTGGCTAAGATCTTATTTTAAGCTCTCCACAAAAGAAGTTAAGCCTCTGTTTAATATTCTCAAGAGAAATGTAAATCCTAATTTCCCTCAACAATTAATTGACAAAAGAGAAGTAATCCCACAAAAAGTAGAAGAAGCTAATACTAATCGATATATTATATAGCCTGATTAGTTGTTGGCTGTGCTATAACAGCCCTTTGACAAAATAGATAATTAATATAGATTTGTATTTCTTTAAATAGGGTCTTTATGACTCTCTGAGTGAGGAAGGAGCAATTGTTGGAGCTTCTGCCCTGATTTTACAAGAACTATGAAAAATTGGCTTTAAAAACAAAACGGTACCCCCTCAGAAAGAGTCCCCCTGAAATACTCTCCATCATGCCTTGTTCACTTTTATCTCTCTAAAGCTAAAAGCCCATGGCAAATCTGCTGCTGACTGCCTCTGGTACCACCAAGACCAACAAAACTTTGCCACAGATATGGGGAAGGACCCTCTTATCCTTAAAGGGAATGGCCCAGACCCAGTTCCCTTATGGGGCCGAGGATTGATATGCCTGTCTGATACCACAGAAGGCACAGCTAACTGGCTACCAAAAAGATTAATGAAAAAAAATAGATACCCCTACAAAGCCAGGCCCAACCATAAATACGATGAATAACAATTTACATCCAGGGAAGAGAAATCTCCCTGAGAATTCCCTTCTTTTTCCTTTCCAGGTAAAAATGAATCACCCGTGATGTCTGCTAATCTAGAAGTTCTAATCCAGATGCTGGCCTCTGAACTTATACAACTCAGACTTCGAAGGGTCATTGACAAGAACATCAAACAGCTAGAGATTGACAACACTAATCTGAAGAAATCCCTCGTTTTCCTCTTTGAAGATACCTCCAAATATCGCAAAGATCCTTATTGGACTTGATTTACTCTATTACAATAGAAAAGGCTGTGTACAGCTCTTGACTGTGTACAGCCCTTAAAGAACAAGGTTGCCTTTACATAGACAAGACAGGATGGTTAAAGAGAGCATGAAATAGGTCAGAGAAGGCCCTGAGAAAAGTCAGAGAGAGAAAGAGAAAGAGAAAGATGAGTGCTGGTACAAGAATTGGTTTTCACCCTCTCCATGGTTGTCAACCCTACTTCCTCCCATCATGGGACCATTATTTAGGTTACTTTTGCTTATTTCTGCTGGTCCCTGAACCTCATATAGGCTGACTAACTCTGTGAAACAACAGATAAATAATTTGGTAGCAAAACCTATTCAGATACATTATCATAAGTTAGCTATGGAGGACCACGAGACTCAAGATGAGGTTGTTACTTTATACAGGGTGTTCCCAAAACCAATCTCCACCCAACCTAAAAGAGGGGACTTCTGCCCATAGACCAAGCAGAGAGGGGCCACCCAGAACCTCCTCTGACAGGCGATCTGAATTCTTGCTTAGGCTGCTAGGCTAAGCACTGCAAGGGAATATAAATAAAAATTAAAAATATCTCTCTGGGTTCCCTGAGGGACAAGCCTGACTGCATAGGGGTTGGAAAAAGATATCAGGACTGGTATGGCCCTCATACCTCACTGGACAATGACAGGGGGACCAGAGCCATTACAAAGTCCCTTTCAATTACTGGAGGCCAGGCCTCTATCCCCGCCTTTGCAAGATTAGAATTGCCACAGCCCTTCTATAGTTAGAGAAGGGAGGAGATGTCAGGGGCAGCCCTGCTTACACACTGAAGGCCTAAAATCAGCCATAGGCCTAAAATCAGCAATAGGCCTGTCATACATGTATACTAACACCAAGTCTTGGGTCTCAGTGGAAAAACATTGAAACAGATGGCTATAAGCTAATGTAAACAGGCAGCTTTCGTGGAAATATACCAGTCTGAGTAGTCATAGACCTTGTAAATAGGTAGCCTTGGCAGACAATACCAACTTAGATAAGGACAAGTGAATCATAGGCAGAGTCATAGTGACCTGTCCCCTGAACCTTCACCCAGCCGATACCCGGTTCTGAAGATATCTCTATTCCCCCTGAACACCCACACTCCACTGTCATCCCCTTCCCCACATCTTGCTTTTCTGTGTTTATAACCCCTGTGTGAATGAATTACAATTTGAAAAAACTAAATAAATTATTTTTAAAAAAAGACAAAAAAAAAAAGAAATCTGCTGTGTTTTATTTTTAGGTAAAAAAATAAATTCTATTTCATGGTTAATATTAAATTCTGAGTACTTACATTTTTTTCCCTTGGGATGATAAGCATGTATTTTAAGTGATATATCACATTGTTTTGACTGGTATTATTACAAACTGAGCATTTATAAATGTTGGAATTTATATTATTAACATTTTGGTGGTACAGCTATGCATTTTTCTTTTCATATAACAATTTCATCTAGCATAAAATATCAGAAATGGAAAATCTTATTTGTACACAAAAGCAGATAAAAATGAGGGCTGGAGAGATGGCTCAGTGATTAAGAGCTCTGACTGCTGTTCCAGATGTCCTGAATTCAATTCCCAACAACCACATGGTGGCTCACAACCATGGGATCCTATGCCCTCTTCTGGTGTGTGTCTGAAGACAGCTACAGTGTACTGGTATAAATAATAAGAAACAAATAATTTTTAAAAAAGATAAAAATGAATAGCATTTGTTTTATTAGATCACCAGTAACTTTTTCTGTATGAGTCTTACTAGATTTCACTTTAAAACTAGCTTTTATGTGTTATTTTAGAATTCTACAGATAGGACTAACCAAGGTTTCTACAAATAATTATTTCCCAAAAACTGTGGCCATGGGTAATATTGAAAAAGAAAATCAACAAATGCCAAAAGGCACAGCTGAATAGGTAATATAATTTCTCATATTCTATAGCACAGGAGACCAACTGTGATTAACAATTAACTGTAAATTTCAAATTAGGTAGTAGAGTTAAGAACATTTCCAACACAAGGACATGATACACATCTGAAGCTGTGAATATATCTGGTGATTACATACTGCATATATATGTCAAAGGCCACACAATACCTAATTATGTATCAGTAAAAAACTTAAAGAGAACAAGTCAGACAAATTTAGGGGGACTGGAGAGATGGCTCAGCAGTTTAGAATACTGACTGCTCTTTTAAAGGACCCAGGTTTGATTTCCAGCACCCATACTACCACTCCTAACTGTCTATAATTCCAAACATAGGGGATCTCTTCCAGCATCATGGGCATTGCACGCACATGATGCACAGACATACACAGAAGCAAAAAAAAAGCAAAAAAAAAGCAAAAAAACCCATATACATAAAATAAAGGAAAAATTTTCTGTAATACAGACAAAATGAAGAGAATACAGGAAAATGTCAAAATCTGGGGTTATTACTCAACAAATTCATCTTTTTACCTATTTGCATAATGGTTATTTTAAACTCTTTTAAGTGTGATAGCTCCAAAAAATACTAAACTGTAGGTTTTTTCTAAACAAAAAATTATATACTACATAAGATATATCTTGCCTTTTACAAAAGAAATGAATATATCTTATAGAAAAGCTTTCATGTAAGTAATAAATGCATTTGGAATTATAAAATCTGTTGGGATTATAACTCTGCAAATGTGGCTAATTACTTATAAAATAATTATCTACATCACAACCTAATGCACGGGATATCAAGTCTAATGTATATCACAAGACACCATAGACTTACTGATACAGACACACAGCAAAAAATTCCATGGATTTTTTGACTCTGTAGGTTTGGCAACTAACAATGATTGTACTGTTTTGTATCTAGATCTTTAATTAATGTATTTTTAAATTTTATTTTTTTGTGTATGGATATTTCATCTGCAATGTCTATGTACCATATCCATGTCTGGTGCTCATGGGGGCAAGAAAAGAATGATGTATTTCCTAGGAACTGGTGATACAGACAGCCATGTGAGATGCCATGTGGGTGCTAGAAATTAAACCTGGGTCCTTCTACAAGAGAAGCCAGCTCTTAACCTGTGAGTCATCTCTCTAAACCTAGATCTTTAACCTAAAGGTAAGGAAAACAAAACAAAACAAAACAAATAGCATAAAAGTAGTACTTACCAGTACCGGAATTTGGAACCTAATGTAAAATAATGTGCAAAAAAGTTCTTTTGAGGTGGAAGTGGTCTATCCAGGCGGAAGAATGTATGATGTTCTACACACGCTTTCCACAAAGTTTTACATGCTCTATAATTCACCATATTAAATCCAAGTAATGTTTCTCTAGATTCATGCTGTATTAAATGACAAAATTCAGAGAAAATGGGAAAATGTCAAGATATGACAATACTTTTGATAAATAAGTTATTCCAGCGTTGCAAATGCTAATCTCCTTCAATAATTTTATTAAGCAAAGGCTCAGTGAAATTAATAAAAAGGTTTATAAAATGTGAACTTCTATAATTTAACAACTTTTACATTCTTGTATTCTCTATAATACTTAGAAATAACTTTAAATTTTTTAATATTTTCAAGTATATTTACAAGTTTTATTAGCTATAATTGTGCTTCAAAATATAATCCTGGACCACACATTAAATTTTTATAGACCCACAATTTGTAATTCTGCCTTGATTAAAAATAAGAATACTCAATAGCTCAAGCATTATTACAAAAATCACATTAGAAATTGACTAGCATTAGAATAAAATAATTCTCTAGTTTTTCTTTTGGCATAAACCACATTATAGCAAAGCACACATCTCCTGAGTATCATATCTATATCTATATCTATATCTACATCTATAGATATAGATAGATTATAGATATATAGATATGTATATCTATATATACACGTGTTTGTGTGTGTACATGCAATATGTATATTATATATGTAATGTGCAATATATAAATAACAGATTACCTACTTTACTCTTTATAGAGATTTGATATTTCTCATTTAGGGGTAGAAGACCAATGTTGTGTATACACATTCTTAGTGTCTACGTACATATGGACACATTTATGTTGCTAGATCATTGTATATACACACAGACACAGATATAGATATTTATATAGTAAGTGTATCTGTGTATCTATATTTAGTTAAAGTAGTTAATACTTCCTGTCAAAGATAGTGTGTGTTCCATATACTCACCAATTTCAGTGATTTTCTGGTTTTGTTTTCTGTCTGTGTATTGAGATAGCATTTCACACTGTACCTTACACTGGCCTGGAACTCACTATAATGTTCAGGCTGGACTTGAACTTACAGCAGTTCTCCCACAGCCAATCTTTCGGGTGATACATTATAAGCATTGTGCCACCCCACCTATTTTGAGTTTTTGTTATTTTACTGTTTTGCATTTTGGTTATAACATGTACCTCTTCTTGATGACTTTAATAAGGTTCAACATCTCTTCATGTTAATGGCAAATTGGATATTGTTTTTTTGTTTGTTTTTTTTTTCAAAGCATGACCTTCTTCTGCAGCCCAGGCTAGCCTCAAATTTGTGGCAATCTCCCTACCTTAGCCTTTCAAATGTAGGGATTAGAGATTTAGGCCACCATGTCTACCTTATTTTAGTTTCTGAAGCAGACCCTCATACTATGTAGCCACGGTTGATTTTGAACTCACAACCTTCTTGCCTAAGCCTTGTAATTACCTGGCTACCATGAAGACACTGTCACTTCTGAAGTGGTATTCAAGGTACTGGCATATTTTTCTGTTGGATAGCATACATATGAAAGGACTTGGAGTGGCATATTACTGCATATACAGCCAGTGCTAAGTCACTCTGTTAATAGTATCTTTTGATGAACAGTTATCAGTTTGAAACAGTCTGAAACAATGAATCATTATCTTTCAGAGCTTCGTCTATGTTTTTTTTCAAGAAGTATTATCATCATGAAAATGTTTTCCATAAATAAAACAAGATAAAATGTTTAGATGTAAGAATGTAGTTTCATATTAAAAGGTAAAATGATTAAACCATAACTTGTTGTTTACTAGAAAGTAAAACAGTATCATTAACAATGGTTTATATGGAGTAACAGCTTAGGTGTTGTATGATATAAAATAAATATTATGTAAGATGACAGAATACCTTACAAGAGAGTATAATACAGTAAGTTTTTTCAGTGTGTGTTCATTGTCTAATATGTGGCCTCCCTATTAAAGCACTGCTTCAAACACTCTGCATGCATTTTTGACACTGTTAATTGCATTTAAAATGTAATAACATTCTTTCTAATTTGTGAACAATGGACTTAAAGTGTCTCAAGTGGTTAAGTATAACAAGTCCAAGTTTGGATCTGCTGCTGTTGTTTTGTCATAAAGTCTTGCTATGTAGCTCTGCCTAGTCTGAAACTTCATTGTAGACCAGGGCTAACCTTCTGAGCACAAGGCTTACAGGTGTGCATAACTGTACCTACCTATAACTGTGGATAGTTAAAAACAAATGTTTTATAAAGAAAACATTGGCAATATGATGTATTCTGCAAAATACATCTGTATGTGGTCTTTAATCACTTGCAAGTTGACTTTTGATGCTGTTGTTATCTACAGGTAAACATAGTGCTTAATGACACAATCTCTCAGAGAACAACTATAAGAAGTAAATACTAAAAATGGCTCACACATTACCAGGCACAAACACTGTTTTCAATAAAGGTTACATTTCATAACTCTTGTTATTACTATTACTGACAACACATCCACCACAGTCAGGTAAATTAATAGTGTTTTCTTCTACAACACTCCAAGCAAATTATCTGTTAAGTAGGTTTTTTTAAAAAAAGATTTATTTTATTTGTATGAATACACTGTTGCTATCTTCAGACACACCAGAAGAGGGCATGAGATGCAATTACAGATGGTTGTGAGCCACCATGTGGTTGCTGGGACTTGAACTCAGGACCTCTAGAAGTGTTCTTAATCACAAGACATCTCTCAAACCCCTGTTCTCTAGTTTCTGGATAACAAGACTTATTATACATCCTTCTCAGAATATTTGCTGAAATTTACTATATACACACACATATATAAATACAAAGACACATACATGCATAAGAATATTCAGTACCAGTATTGGTCAAAATATTCCCCACTGGAAAATAGTAAAACTTTCCTTAGCAGTAGACTACACTGTTAGTTTATAGCATATACACTTAGTAGAATATTAAATTAAGGAACAAACCACAGAATATCAATGATGTCAATACAATATGAATTTCATATTGTTAAAAAAAAGAAGCTAAGTACAAAAGGACATGCTATATGGCTTCAGTTTTTAAAGTTAACAACATCTAAACTACTTCATGGCAGTACAAATTGAAATAATGCTGCCTATCTATTGGGAAAGCTAGCTACTAGAAGTGTGCAGTAGATCCGTTAGCAATAGGATTCTGTTGTGCTCTATGTATTAATCTGAGTTTATCAAGTTATATACTTGATAGATTTATGGTTTATGTACTTTCTCCTACAAAGTTTCACTTCAATAAAAATTCTATTTGGAAAAATCTCCCATATTTAGTAAACATAAATGATAAACCATAGTCACAAAATAGGACAATATCCTCTAGTAGGCAGATACTGCAATTGACTCAGATATATTCTTAAGATTTTAAATAAATTTTATTCACATATGTATGTCTTGAAACATGTATCAATTTGCAAAGATTTATAAAAAAATCTGGTGTAAACCAAAGAACAAGGTTAGTTTGTTTTCATATTCATGTCTGCAAATATGTCTATGTTTTGTGCTAGGATCTTGCACTAAACCATTATTTCTACATGATTGGGATCCCAGGCTTATGTCACCACAGCACGCACAGCTAGTTTAATTTGATCAAGCAGGTAAAGTAATTTACAAGAGGAAGTTGTTCTAACACTGTACTAACACTTTGATACAAGATGTAAATGCAAGAACTATAAACTACATATTCAGCCCTCCCAAAATTAAATAAGCCTTCTATGAAAGCAAGTATTATACATTTTGTATGGAGAAAAAACTTAGAAGTATTTACTGCACTTTTGTTCACAGTGACACAAAGTTTTAAATGTTTTTAATCAGTGTGTGCTCATGCACCTATGGGTACACACACACACTTCTAGCTAGGAAGCTAGAAGATAGTCTTAAGTGTTGTTTCTCAGAAATATTTCCCCTTATTTCTGGACAGAGAGTCTCCATTGGCCTGGAATGCTCCCAATTAAGCTAGACTGGCAGGCCTGGAAGTTGAATGGATCAGCCTGTGTCTGCTCCTTATTGCCAAAATTGTAAGCGCAGCTTTTCTAATTGGGTTCTAGACATCAATCTCAAGTCCTTGTATTTCTATAAGTACTATACAAGTTAAGCGATATCCCCTGCCTATGGCTCGGCAATCTTAAAATACTTCATTTTTATCAATAATTATTAATCAATACTCACCAATTCTTTTCTAAGTTGAATAAAAAACTGTTTGCATTTAAAAGAAATTTTTACAATCTTCAACCTGCATAAAAGAGAATTGGAGTATTCAAAATACTGCTAAAGAAGAAAATATACAAAAATTGGGAAAACTATAGGTATTTTTATATATTATGGGTTTTGAAAGTTTCATACGTTTATAGAATGAATAGTAAGCAATCTATCCACCATTAACCCCAACTCGCTTTGATGTCACCATCCTTTTCCCCTAACTTCAAGGAACCTTTCTAATTTTTGTTTTTGATATTAATAACCCCAAATCCAATTAATGCTGCCCATGTGCACACAGATGAGTGGCCACATTCTTAAGTTTAATGTGTACTAATAGCTTCATATTTTATCATATAATCTTTAATATAAACAGTAATGTAAAACTTATGGTGCTTCCTATAAAACTAAAGAAAATTTAGATACTCAACTGAGAAAATTTTTATTAAATTATATCTTCTATGAATTATGTATTTCCCAATTTTCTATTTTCAGAAATATTCACTAAAGACTAAAATCTCAAAAAATATAAATAACATTTAAGTATTTTAATATGACAAAGCATGCATATGGGAAAATATAAAATGTCAGAGTTTTGTAAAACATTTTAATTTTAAAACTGTAACTACTTTTATCTGACCCTTATATATTACTTTTTTAAAAACATATATAGCTTATTTTTGTTTGTTTTTTCTAAACAAAGACTCACTATATAGCCTTGGCTGCTCTGGAACTTACTATGTAGACCCATCTTGTCTGGCTCTGCCACCTGGGTAGCAACCACACTAGCCTAAATTTATGCAATTTATATAACATTAATTTTTCAATGCCCCATTATATGATCCATGACTCAAGCTGGTTTGGTTCCTTGTAATAATGATATAAAGAGTAATTCTCACACTTTGAGACCCATGATACTTAAAGGCCATGAGACCAAAGAGACTGAATCTTAGTAAAATGTGATTTAGAACCCAATTTTCTAACATTTCTAATATTTTCACAGTAATTATAATTGTTGATTTTTGTGACTCATATCCAATAAGAAGCTGTGTGCAAGTACTTTCAGAAAATAACTTCTCAAATTTCAATCACTTCAGAAGACAAATATACCAGTCCAACTCAGGCAGAACCATTCAAAACAGAGGAAATATAAGCTTAGGTTTTAGGTCTGAACTTTGTGTTGCTGGGAATTGAACCCAGGACTTTACACATGTTAGTCAAATGCTCTAACACTGAGCCAAATTCCAAGCTGCAGGGTAAATTTCTTACTTTATTATTACATCTTGTGTTCTTACTTCATAGGGATAAAGCAACATGGATATATTATTTTCCCATGTGAGGGAGGGTATTACTTTTAGAAAATGAAAAGAAAACTGGGTAAAACAGCCTATATTTGTGGAAAGAAAGTAAATCATTTGAAAACCTTTAAAGATATACATATATTTTTAAATGTATACATCAACATTAAAAAAAATCCCACAAACAACATAAGCAAAAAATGTTATTCACTTCTAAATGAATAAGACAGAAAATCTAATCTAATTTCTAGTCATCTTCATATTACAAATGCCAGAAAAACATCAATGAATACACATTGCAACACCAACTAGATAAAGATCTCTAGCAAAAATGTACTTGTATGACTTTGTGCTTCTTACAAATGTATCCTATCAAACAATGATTAATGCTCCTTTTTTTATAATGAGATAACTATAATACTTTTCCTTTGGTTTCCATGCCCTTTGTTAATCTTTTATAGTGAATTAAACCAGCCTGTCTCTTTATGTTTCATTCGTGTGTGTGTGTGTGTGTGTGTCTTGTGAACAGCACACACATAAATTTTCAATCCCATCTGTGTATTTCTAAGAGGACGATGAAAGAACAACAAGCGAATGGAAATATGTTCAACAGTATTAGCCATAAAAGGATATAAAGTAAAATTAAGACAGTGTATCATTTTACACAGCCAAGAGGTTTTAAGCCAAACAACAAATGGTGGGGAGAATATGGTAAAATTAACACAGTACAGACCCCCAGGGAGGAAGGTGACAGCACAGCATGAGGGAAAAGTTTAGCAAACCCAGAAGTTCTACCCTTTTGTTTATGTCCCCTACCAACACTTCTATAAACATGCAGTGTACCACTGGGTTGTTTGTTTGCTAGTTTGTTGAGAAAGGGTTTCTCTATGTATCCCTGGTTTTCCTGGAAGTCACTCTATAGACAAGGCTGGCCTTGAACTCACAGAGTTCTGCCTGCCTTTGCCTATCTCTGCTTCCCAAGTGCTAGGATTAAAGGTATCTGAGCACTGGAGCTTAAAGAAACAACTGATGAGTTGTGAAACAAAATAGCATGTAACTAAGGGATAGAGTATCACTGAGCAATAAAAATATTGGTATATGATCTTTGAATGTCAAACATGCTAAATGAGTCAGTCATTCATGGTACCTCATTTTAGAATATCCAGTAGAGACATATGATTAGGGATGGTGGTAAGAGGAAAGACAAGAGATAGAAAGTAGCTCATAACAATCTTTTGTAGGTAAGGGAAATGGTTCAAAATTAGATTGGGTAATGCTGTGTTCTATAACCATACCTCAAACACTGATTATATGGATAGTGAATTTCATAAAGCTTATCAATTATACAACAAACTTTTAAGACCCATTTTGATAAACTGCCTCTTTCAATTTCAAGGATGATTGCTGTTTTAGAATTTAGTTTAGCATTCCTCACAAAATAGGCTAACTAGTAAAAGATTCCTTTAATTTCTGTTTGAGAAAATCTAGTTTCCTCTTGCTTCTGAAATACAACTATAGACTAAATTGATGAGGCTTTTTTCTCTGAACACTTACAAATATGTCATAGTTTTTCTAAAGACGAGTGTCATGCAATTCTTAAACTTTATTTCTCTGCAAAAAAAAAAAAAAAGGGCAGGGGTATTTTGGTGTTTTCCTTCTTTCAAGATTCTCCCTTTGACTTTGAATCTCTAGAAATTTGCAGTTGAACACAGATAGAATTTACTGAATAAAAGGACTCAGATAAAGATTCCTTAGCTGAAACTTCATGTTTATCTGACAAAAAGTTATGCTTAGGTTCTTCTAGTACCCTTATTCCTGGTTCTCTTGCTATCTTTTGGGCTTCTATACATCTCTTTAAGTTGCTTTCCTTGGAGTTTTTCAGTTGTAATTCTGTTTTTACACAGGACTTTTGCTGACAGAGCCTTTAAGAAGTGAGCTGGGGAATCCAGTTTAATCTTATGATTAAGTCAAAGTGGCATATGGGTCTATGCCCCTTAGCTCTCACCATGAGAACAGGAAAGCACACTTGGTACTTAAATTCATGAAGCTTAAAGAATCTCAGAAGATGGGACATGCAGAATTTTTTTTTTCTCAAACCAGTCTAGCTTCTGCCACCCAGCAACCAGTCAGCCACTTTCAAGCCCTTCCAACCAACAGTCAGGTCTCTGTAGCCATCTGTCTCCAGTTGTCACAGCAGGAGTTTACTCGGTGTCTCCAACTCCTTGAAAAACCCAAGAATCATTGATTTTCAGTTTTCATTGGGTTTCTCTTTGTTGTAGAAGCAAGATAGTGAACACCTTACATGTCTGATTGGGAAGCTGAATTCTCTGGCCCTCTTTTACAATTTTAACATCTTAGCTTAAGTTTTGTTGTGTACTGTGTACTGTTGAGAATAGTTGGAAAAAATCTTTATAGTACATAGTGATATGGGCTTAACAGGTAGAGTAACTTTGAATCCCATCTAATTTATTACTGAAAACAATATTTAAAATTTGTATTATGGGGTATTTTCTAAATATTCTAAATAACATTTTAATTTAACATTTAACATTCATTGCTTGGCTTTCTTAAACCCAACTTGGATAAAGCAAGATAGAAACTCTGCAAGGAAAACAGTCAAAACCTGTAGCTCCAGATGAGGCTTCTGGGGCTCAAATCATGTTAAGTTCAAAGGGCTGGGCAGTCAGTTATGCTGCCTCTCTAGTTACGCTGCCTGCAGCATACATAGACTCTTGAACCAGTTCCACTCCATTTCCTATAGTATTCCTACAGTGGGCATCCCTTGGTCCAAAATAAAATCCTGGGGTCTCCACTGTAACTTGGATTTCACCTTCACAACTTCAGGTAGTAGCTTTTCACTGCCTTCTACCTGGGACTCCCACTTACTATCTGGCTTTAGCAAATCTCTGGAACCATTATACTAGATGGCATGGCCTCCTCAATCTTAAATCTTAATACCTGCAAAACCAGTATCATGAGCACAAAAGTGCTAAATTGTGTTACCAGCTCAGGATGGACCTCACTTACAGTCTCTGTGGTGAACCTGGGAAACATGTTCTTCAGACAGTTGTTTTTGAGCAAGGAACCCCTTCGGTAATATTCTCAGTTTAGGTTTTTTTTTTTTTTTCCAATTGAATGTGCATTTTCACAAGATGGAGTCTTCAATGTTTCTGGAATACCATTCCTCTTGAGTCAGTGTGAAGGTTGCTTTTTAGTGATACAAATTTCTAATGACTACAGCTGCTTTTAAATTTGCCTTTTCTGTAGTTTTATACTTGCTCATATTCCTTTCCTCACAAACCTGCATATTTCATAACTCTCTGTTCCACTTTTTACTTTCAGTCACTGTAACCTGGAGAAGCAGCAAGTCATAGAGTAAGAATACTATACTGCCTTAAAATTTCCTCTGCCAAATAAGTTAGCCCATTCCTTGGGAATTTTGCCTAAGGTAAGTTCTCAGGCCAAGGGTCAAATAAAGTCAGATAGGTTTTTTGTTTTGTTTTGCTAGATTATAATAGAAAAGGCCTCTAGTCCAGTTTCCCATATGGACCTTGTTCTTCTTTAAACCGTCATGAGCTAGGCCTCCACTGTCCAGTTCTCTGCATTCTGGCCTTCCAAACTTACATCACAATGATCCATGAAGTTCTGTGTACAGAATTTTGGGTTTTTCCTAGTCCAAATGCCTAAACTCGTCCACACTTTTCCCCACAAACTATTTCCACAGGCCTAAGAACCACAC